AAAGGGATATAGTAGTGTCTCATTTTTACTTGAAGTTCCTTTGAAAATCATACAGTGTACTTTTTTTTATGTTTGTTTAGTTTTTCAAGGCAGGGTTTCTCTGTGTAGCCCTGGCCATCCTGGAACTCTGTAGACCAGACTGGCCTTGAACTCAGAGATCCACTACTCCCCCCACTCCCCGCCAGGTAGCTGGAATTAAAGTTGTGAACCACCACTGCCTGGAAAACAGCTTCTTTTTATGTGCCCGTAGCCAACTGCTTGATCTTTGATGAGGAGGCCACATACTTACCCATTTTACTTTTTTTAAAAATATTTATTTATTTATTTGTTTATTTGTTTATTTATTTATTTATTACATATACAATATTCTGTCTGTGTGTATGCCTGCAGGCCAGAAGAGGGCACCAGACCCCATTACAGATGGTTGTGAGCCACCATGTGGTTGCTGGGAATTGAACTCAGGACCTTTGGTAGAGCAGGCAATGCTCTTAACCTCTGAGCCATCTCTCCAGCCCCCCCCCATTTTACTTTTTAATATTTATTTTGTTTTTGATTGTTTGTGGGGGTATGTATACATAAGTGCTCGTGCCTGTGGAGGCCAGAGGCATCAAATGCACTTGGAGTCAGAACTACAGGTGGCTGAGTGTGCTCGGAATTAAACTCGAATCCTCTGAAGAACAGTAGTGTGTGCTCTTTTAACCACCGAGCCATCTCTCCAGCTCCTTAAGCTTTTAAAATGTTTCCATACGATTTGGCCAGCGTTCTTCTAAAGTTAATTTCAAGAAGTTGTCTATAGGAGCTGCTATGTCCAGTGTCCAAATACTCTGAAATTTTCAGTAGTTTTTCTGGTGGTCACCTCTTGTCCCAGCTCAGGACTGCAGAACCGCTTACAGACTTCTTGAGGGTCCTTCATTCCCAGCAAAGGGAAGAGCCACCTGTGTGCATGCCTGTCTAATGAGCCCAGCTGTGTTATGCCTGCATCTCTAAGAGGCCGACTTACATTTAGAGATACCTGTGACTCAGACGAAGTCAGACAGTTCTGGAATGTTTAAATGGACCAGATGCTGTTTACTCTTGGGTCGGAAATCCTCCAGGATGTTTCAGAGCCGAACAGGTTGGGTCATCCGTGTGGTGGTCAGTTGGGAGGACAGAGATTGAAGTGACTATAAGGTATTTACCCAAACATAAACCTTGCATACATGAGTGGAAGGAATTTTTATCTTACTGACTTTGTTCATTAACTGTTAAGTTCCTACTGCTCATAAAACAGTTGAACATATGACGATGAAGTCTAGAGGGATTTTTGTTTTCAATGAGCTCAGTCTCCTTGTTGGAGAATTAAGATGTGTTTGTAACAGTTCACAGCCTGTGAATGAGCCACAGAGAGTCACAAAGCAGAGTCATGGAGTATTTCTGTTCTTACTGGATTAGTGTCAGCTTAGTTTATTTGTCTCCGTTCCTTTAAAGAGGGCTTCTTTTAGACAATATACTGGTTTTCAGTTCACCTTTAGACTCATATTTGAAGGATGTAGACTATTGATGCCCAGAATTATTGCTGATAGAGTTGTATTAACATCTACCACATTTGTTTTCTATTTTTTTAAACCTTTGCTCTCTGTTCCTCTCTTTTGCATTCCATGGACTGCCTTTTGTGATTTTAAAGGAACATTTTACAGGATTGTGTTTTCTCACCTTTCTTAGCACACCAGTTGTACTTATTTTGCTGTTGTTCTCTAAAGTGTCTGCCCTAAAATTTGCAATGTGCATTTACAATTCAAGCCCAGTTTCCTGGAACACTATTCCATCCACATTGTAGGCAGGACAAAAGACCTGACGTATCAAGATAATCCCAGTTCTTCCTCCTGTCCCTTATATTATTTCTAGCTTACATCAGGCATACACATGCTACACAGGAGATACATACATATATATGCACACATAATTAGTATGGCAGTTGTTCTTTTAAACTGGTATTTGTTAATAGTTAGAATAAAAGTTTTTACTTGACCCCAATTCTTTCTTCAGTGGGTTTTTCATAGAGATCTGAGTTTCTGACTTATTTTCTTTCTTCCTAAAGAATTGTCCCCCACTCCCCAGGCTAGTTATGGCACTTAGGCATTGTATTAAGCAAGGCTTCTGAGAAAGTCTCTTTCACTTTTGAAGGATAACCTTATGGAGTATAAAGTATAGGTTGGGTTGGTTTTGTTGTTGTTTTCCTTGAGGCACTGAATATTTTGCTTCCATCTGGTTGAATGTTTTCTGTTGATGCAAAAAACACAGTTCTCACCCTAAAGAGAATAAGAGATAGCTAATTCTGGAGCCATTTTAGTGACCATGGCCCAGGAGCCAGAACAAGTTTCATGACATTTTACGGGACATTGGTGGGCACAGCAAGATGAGGGAGACTTTTCTGTAGGCCTCAGGGGCTGTCTGATGACATTCTGAGCTTTTGGGCTGGTGGAAGCCAATGGATCTGCTAAGTCAGTAGATCCCAAGGGGTTTTTTATGACTCGGGATGCTAGTACAGATGCACACAGGTGTGGACAAGGTGGACTATCCAGGGGGCTAATGTTAGCTCAAGATAAGGTGACTAGCCTCTGGACCTGCATAACATTTCAGTCTCTGCAGACAGTGCTTTCCTGGAGTCTTCACGTTTCTGAATCTGCTGCCCTTCATCTCCTTACCCCATTAGTATGATAGCTGTTCCCCTGCTAGCTTCTTTCAGAATTATTTTTCTTTGATTTTTTTTTTATAATTTGAAAATGCATGTCTAAATTCGATTTTTGTTTGTTTCTATGCTTGTTTGGTTTTGCATTTATGCTGCTTGGTGTTTGCCAAACAGACTGTATCAGAATGTTCTTCCTGCCAAGAATTTGTGTCAGAATTAGTTAATAGTTTTCTCTTTCAGAGCTTGGGATGGCTCTTTTAGTTTCTCGCCACCATCTACCAGCTACTGCTTCTCTATGGTTTGCCAGGTCCCCACTTTTCTGGATTCGTGAGTTCTAGTGTCCAAGATTCTGAGGAAGTGGGGACAGTGGATGGCTTGTACTTCCTTTTGCCTCTGGGTGCTTCCGGCTTCCATTGTCCTTGTGGAGTCTCTTCACCTATCTTACTTCTAGTGCTTTTGCTCCCAAGTTGTCAGCTTGGACTTTGGGTAGGTTGAGTTTCCCCTTCAGGTAAGTCACTCTGGGATGGTGGTAGAGTAAGATGCAGCCTTAGGCTGCCACATTCCATGACCTTGCAGACCGCCCCTTCTAGGATCCTTCCATCTTTTTCTGGCCCAACCCTTATGTTAGGTGTTCTAGCCCAGCAGCTGCTATTAGGCTTCTTCAAGTATGGAGGACTTTCCGAATCTCCCCTCCGTATACTTCTCCCCACATCGTTCTGTCCCTCCACTTTCTACTGACCTGCTCCTCCTGGGGGTGCGTTCCTGATGCTTAGCTGCTCTGTCTCTTTGGAGCAGTCCATTCTGTCGTATCTTGACTCTTCTCCCTTCATCGTTTCACAGAGGCAGCCTCTAATCTGCAACCTTACACAGAAGTCTTTTTTAAAAAATAGTTTCATTGCTTCAAAATTAGAAGTTAAGAATTTTAAGTAATGGGGCTGGAGAGATGACTGAGCTGTTAAGAGCACTGACTGCTCTTCCAGAGTCCGGAGTTCAGTTCCCAGCAACCACATGGTGACTCAACACCGTCTGTAGTGGGGTGCCCTCTTCTGGCGTAAAGTCCATAGAATACTCATATACATAAAATAAATTTTTTTAAAAACCTTTTAAATAATATTATATGTATTTTAAATGCTCGTATTATTTCCTCTGGTAATAAAACTTTGAGATTTTGTAGAGTTTGTTAAGTAATTGTGTGAATGCTTTTATGGGGTATTGTATATGTGACGTCAGTGCTACTGTGTTTAACTCGTCTTACAACTCTTGCATTAAAAAGTACTATACAGATTATTTTTTAAAAATCACTTCATTGAAAAAAGTGGAATAAAGAAAATGAAGTTTCTTTACAGTTTTGAGGTTGGTAACGGGATAAACATTGGAAACAAGTGAATGTAGGGAAGAGGGGAAGAACAGTACATTTGTACATAATCATGCATTTAATGCCTTCAAGAGCTCATGACATGTAAATGTTACTAGTACCCATTTTACAGAAAAATCACCAAAAATTATTTTCCTTGAGTCAGATGACTGTTGATAAGGGTTATTTAACTCTAAGTCTTTGGTGTTGTTGACTCTACTATTTTCTTTTAAAGAAGAGCTCAGATGGAAGGAATAGTGCTGTTGGTGTTATAAAGTAAAATACAGGCACTGTGTTTATGATTTAGGCAGTGTTGAGGGATAATCTAGAGTTCTCCTGCTGGCCATGTCTGGAGCACTCGTCAGGGCGCTGTTGATGGTGGGCCTGCTCTTCACAAGTCAGGTTCACATGGATGGAGGCAGCCACACGGAGGATTCTCATGTCTTTCATTGCAAACTCTGGATTTAAAAAAATAAATGAATCTCCCATTTGTTTGTGCCATTTGAGAAGATGTGTTTCTAGTGAGTGGAACTCATTGAGCAATCTGTATATTGATATGAAGATATTTCTTGTTATTTGGGCTTAAATAAATTGCTACTTAGAATTGAATTTTTAAGGCTCAGCTACTTTGGGAGATTTATGAAGTCTCTAAACATTGAAATAAAATTTTTTGGAAAATACTGCAAGTCAGCTTAGTCAGTATTCATGTGTGTGTGTGTGAGTGAGTATGTGTGTGATGAGTGGAAAATGCTGATCTTAACATCTAGTATAAATTTATGAAAATATGAAAAAGGTTTGTGGATACGTTATGAAATCACACAAAAATTGCTGTTTTCAAATTTTTAAATACATGTGTTGGTAAAAATTTTTAAATTTCTTCTCAAATATTAGTTATGTCTGAAATCATGAACATTTCATGTCTTGCCGTCTTTAGAGTCGTCAGTCACCTCCATTCACCACCATCTTTTATATCCGTAGGTTATTGAATCCCTGGGAATTATTATTTATAAAGCATTGGACTATGGCTTGAAGGAAAATGAAGAGAGGGAGCTGAGCCCTCCTCTAGAGCAGCTCATCGACCAAATGGCCAACACTGTGGAGGCTGATGGTAACCACGATGAGGGATATGAGGCTGCAGATGAAGGCCCTGAGGATGAAGATGGAGAAAAGAGAAACATCTCAGCTATTCGGTCCTATCAAGATGTCATGAAGGTAAAGCCATAGTTCACTTTAGTACTGTCTCTCTGTGAATCATTGTCTCATAGTTTAAAAGAGTGGCATAGTGGCTCAGCATTTGACAACAGTTCAGACTGTTTGCAGCCTGGCTGTGGCCTTTTGCTGGGTCATGGCGCTTGGCCACTTGTAGGTGTGTTGGGTGTTGGTTATCTTTCTGCCATCCGGCTGACTGGGCATGATTCTGTCAGCTGGCCTCTGTGGAATGGACAGCATCTGTGAGCAGATTCTGTACCTGAAGACTGAGCCGTGCCAGTCACAGCTGATTGGTGTTTGGTTTTTTATTTTGGCCTTCCTATAGGAATTTGTTTGTTTGTTTGTTTTTACTGATTTTATTGAGGTCTGCATTTTTCTCTGCTCCCCTTCTTGTCTTTCCTCTCCCCTTTTACCCTCTTCCATGGTCCCCATGCTCCCAATTTACTCAGGAGATCTTATCTTTTTCTACTTCCCATGTAGATTAGATCTATGTATGTCTCAGGGTCCTCTTTGTTGTCTTGGTTCTCTGGAATTGTGATTTGTAGGTGGTTTTTTTTCTTTATGTCTAAAAGTCACTTATGAGTGAGTATATATGATAATTGTCTTTATGGGTTACTTCACTCAATATGATGTTTTCTTTTTTTTTAATTATTTATTAAAGATTTCTGTCTCTTCCCCGCCACCGCCTCCCATTTCCCTCCCCCTCCCCCAATCAAGTCCCCCTCCCTCCTCAGTCTGAAGAGCAATCAGGGTTCCCTGCCCTGTGGAAAGTCCAAAGAACCCCCACCTCCATCCAGTTCTAGTAAGGTGAGCATCCAAACTGCCTAGGCTCCTACAAAGCCAGTACGTGCAGTAGGATCAGAAACCCATTGCCATTGTTCTTGAGTTCTCAGTAGTCCTCATTGTCCGCTATGTTCAGCGAGTCTGGTTTTATCCCAGGCTTTTTCAGACCCAGGCCAGCTGGCCTTGGTGAGTTCCCAATAGAACATCCCCATTGTCTCAGTGTATGGGTGCACCCCTCGTGGTCCTGAGTTCCTTGCTCGTGCTCTCTCTCCTTCTGCTCCTGATTTGGACCTTGAGATTTCAGTCTGGTGCTCCAATGAGGGTCTCTGTCTCTGTCTCCTTTCATCACCTGATGAAGGTTAATATTCATTTGCCTGCAAATTTCAAGATGTCATTTTTTTCCTGCTGTATAGTACATTTTCCTTATCCATTCTTCAGTCAAGGGGCATTCAGGTTGTTTCCAGGTTCTGCTTATGACAAACAATGCTGCTATGAACATAGTTGAGCATATGTCCTTGTGGTATGATTGAGCTTCCTTTTGGTATAAACCCAAAAGTGGTATTACTGGGTCTTGAGGAAGGTTGTTTCCTAATTTTCTGAGAAATCGCCACACTGACATCCAGAGGGGCTGTACCAGCTTGCACTTTCACCAGCAATGCAGGAGTGTTCCCTTTACTCCACAGCCTCTCCAGCATAAGTTGTCATCAGTGTTTTTAATCTTGGCCATTCTTACTGGTGTAAGTTGGAATCTCAGAGTTGTTTTGATTTGCATTTCTCTGATGACTAAGGATGTTGAACATTTCCTTAAGTGTCTTTCAGCCATTTTAGATTCCTCTGTTACGAGTTCTCTGTTTATGTCTGTACTCTATTTTTTTTATTGGATTATGTGTTCCTTTGGTGTCCAGTTTCTTGAGTTCTTTGTATATTTTGGAGATCAGACCTCTGTCTGATGTGGGGTTAGTGAAGATCTTTTTCCATTCTGTAGGCTGTCGTTTTGTCTTGTTGACCGTGTCCTTTGCTTTACAGAAGCTTTTCAGTTTCAGGAGATCCCATTTATTAATTGTTTCTCTTAGTGTCTGTGCTGCTACGGTTCTATTTAGGAAGTGGTTCCCTGTGCCAATGCATTCAGGTGTACTTGCCACTTTCTCTTCTATGAAGTTCAGTGTGGCTGACTTTTTGTTGAGGTCTTTGATCCGTTTGGACTTGAGTTTTGTGCATGGTGATAGATCTGGGTCTATTTTCATTCTTCTACATGTTGATATCCAGTTACGCCAGCACCATTTGTTAAATATGCTTTCTTTTTTTCCATTTGATATTTTTTGCTTCTTTGTCAAAAATCAGGTGTTCATAGATGTGTGGATTAATATCTGGGTCTTTTATTCTGTTCCATTGGTCCTCCTGTCTGTTTTTATGCCAATACCAGGCTGTTTTCAGTACTGTAGCTCTTTAGTAGAGTTTGAAATCAGGGATTGTGATGCCTCCAGAAGTTCTTTTATTGTACAGGATTGTTTTGGCTATCCTGGGTTTTTTGCTGTTCCATATGAAGTTGAGTACTGTTTTTTTGAGGTCTGTGAAGAATTTTGCTGGGATTTTGCTGGGCATTGCGTTGAATCTGTAGATTGCGTTTTGCTAAGATTGCCATTTTTATTATGTTAATTCTACCTACCCAAGAACATGAGAGATCTTTCCACTTTCTGGTGTAGTCTTCAATTTCTTTCTTCAAAGATTTAAAGATCTTGTCATTTAAGTCTTCCACTACTTTAGTTAGAATTACTCTGAGATATTTTATGCTATTTGTGGCTATTGTCCTAAAAACAAAAATTAATTAATAACTAATTAATTAAACATTGGGGTTGGCATACCAATAATTCTGTGAAGACCACTGATAAATAGTGTCAAATGTGAAGAATAGAATAAGGTATTGCATAAGAAGCAAAATTTATATTCTGACAATGGCTACAGGCTTGGCTGTGTGTGCGTGGGAGGGGCTGCACAAAGAATAGAGGAAGAAGGGACACACAGAGTCATGGTCTATCCAGCCATCTGGTACCGTGGCCGAGGAGCAGCAGACTGCTCCCGCACTACAGGGTAGAAGATGATGGAAGTCTTAGAATTCTTGCTCAGCAGCATTAAGTAGATTAACTTTTTCTTTTTAAGATTCTTGGGCACGTATTAGTTGGAATGAATTCATTTCATCTATTATGTTTTAGATTTGAGCCACTATGCCTATGAAAATATGTCATTAAAAGTATACTTAAGACATATTTTATAGTTTGGGGGAAAGCTATACTTTTACCAATTCTATTTTTGGCACTTTTGTTTGAGAATATCATAAACTATTTGCTTCTTGGTTTCTGTATTATTCAACATTCCTATCAGTTTCCTGTCTCTGTAAATATTATGACTGTTCTTTTCAACTGAATGAAAGGGGGAAATTGCCGAGACTTTTAACAGGTTTTGAAAATTTGAAATACAAATATCATAAAATCTGTTGTATATGACAATAGAGACAGACACAGGACTCTATGGTTTCAGTGGGGGCATTGAAAACCTCAATAATGACTGATTGGCTTTGTTGAAAGAGAAGACATAGAGTTAACTGAGGAAATATGACCGCCCTTTGTCTTTTTAAAAATTTTAATTATTAATGTGTATGTGTACATATGTGTGTGTGCTAATGCGTGTGCGTGAGATGGTCAGAGGAGTACTTGTAGAGTCAGTTCTCTGTTTGTACCCTTACATGAGTTCCAGGACCACACTTAGGTCATCAGGCATGTGCAGAGTGCACCTTTACTGCTGCGCCATCTCCCCAAACTGTGTTTGCCTTTTTATTGTTAAGCTAAGTTGGAATAATTCAAATGATAGGGCTTGTAGGGTCTTGAAAATTTGTCTAATTTTAGTGATCAAGATTTCTGAATAAGGCTCCAAGACCACAGAGAAACCCTGTCTCGAAAAAGCAAAAAAAAAAAAAAAAAAAAAAACAACAACGAAAAAAGATCTTTGAATATATAACAAATATAAACTTCATATTTTATCGTTGCCTGTTGATTATGGTGGAAAGAAAGAGAATATACATGGGGTTAAGCATGAACACACATATGTAATTATTTTTCTGACTCATTCTGGTGCTCTTTGCTGCTGACACTAAAGCCACATAAATTGTGCATACAAATTTAGATATATGCTCCCCTTGAATAAAGAATATACTCTCTGGCCCGGAGAGATTGCTCTGTGTAAAGAACCCTTGCTCCTCCTCCAGGTTTATAATCGTCTTTATAAATGTGGTTTTCATTATTTTGCTTGTGATGAACATCTTATGCAATTTGATTCTGCATTACTATCTTAGAAAATACATTCTAGAATTGGGGATTTAGCTCAGGTGTAGAGCACTTCTCTAGCAAGCACAGGCATTGGGTGTGATCTTAAGGAAATAATTTTGAATTTGAGTAGGGAGCTGTTACAGTTTGGGTATGGGATAACCCCACAAAGGCTCCTGTTAAAGGCTTCGTTCACACCTCACAGTGCTATTAAGAGGTGATTGAATCATAAAGGTGCTGTGATAGCTTCATCATTGGATTAATCCTCTGGTGAGATCATAGTTGGATTGGCCTTGGAGGAGTCAGCCTTTGTGGGGGTGCTTTTGAAGGATGTTCTCTGCTCCTTCCTGTCTCTGTGCCACCTGTGCACCGTGATAGAGCCACATCACTCCACCTCATCTTTTCCTCGTGGTGTTCAGCCTCTCACCACACAAAGGCCAAAACCAAGAAAGCCAAGTGAGCATGGACTATAACCTATGAACCTGTGAAGCCATGAGTCAGAATTAGTCCTTGCTCTTTTGTTTTTCTCAGTACTTTGTCAACACACAGAAAAAAAAGTAACACAAGAACCTTCTGTGTGGTACGAAAAAAACAAAACCTAAGAAACATGAAAACAATACAGCTATCATTGAACGTCTTTTATTTTGTGTTATTGTTTGTTTTGTTTTGTTTTCTTGAGACTTGGTTTCATGTAGCTTTGGCTCGCCTGGAACTCGCTATATACACCAGGTTGACCTCAAACTAATAGAGTTCCTCCTACCTCTGCCTCTGTAGTGCTATGACCTTTGTTGTGGACCATCACACCTTCTTTTGACTCTTTTAGTAATATAGTATTTCATGGAGCCCAGGCAGGCCTTACTCCTGGTTTCTCTGCCTCTGATTACATCGTGGAGGATAACCATAGACTCCTGGTCTCTCTGTCTCTGACTGCGTAGCAGTGGGATTGATCATAGGCTTGGATTCACCTTACCAGCTCTCTCTATTCTTTCTAGAAATTGTTAAAATATAGCAGATTTCTTTCCAACAACTATATTAATGTCTAACTTAATAAGAGACATTAACAGCTTTTTATTGCAAATGAAGTGCTTTAAAATGTGACTATTGAACATGGATACATAAATCTTATTTTTTAGAAATGTAACATTATTATTTCTCCTAAGAGACTATCTTTGCAGTGTAATAAAGAACCTGGTGTACATTTGTTTCCAGATCACTTTGAGTCATGTTAAGTTGCCTCTCTTACACCTTGCATCATCTTGAGACATGAGGGCCAGACGTAGACAGCACTGGAGGGCTGGCTCCTTGCCCTCCTCTTCCAGCCTCCATTCCCACTTCCCCAGGCTTAACAAGAGAACAAGTGTGGGCTTCAGAACCTAGTAGAAGCATGCTTAGGTTCTCCTTGTGGATAAAAAACAAAACAGGGATGATTCAGGGTTATATTTGAGAGTACATGGTGTTGTGCTGTGCATACGCCATGTCAGACATGTATCTGGCATGAGGAATGCTCAGAAAACAGTAGCTGGTTGTCCTAGTTGCTTTCTGTTGCTGTGATAAATACCATGGACAAATGCAACTTGGAGAGGAAAGCGTTTGTTTCATTTTACAGGGTACAGTCCATTGCTAGGGAAGTCGGGGCAATAACAAGAGGTAGAAACCATGAAGGAATGTTGCTTACTGGCTTGCTCCCTCTGGCTGGTTTAGCCAGCTTTCTTATACAACCCAGACCCACCTACCTGGGGATGGTGTCACCTACTGTGGCGTATGCCCTACGACTCAATCCGCAGTTAAGAAAGTGGTCACAATTAAGACTTTGTCACAGCTGAGCAGTGATGGCACACGCCTTTAATTCCAGCACTTAAGGAGGCAGAGGCAAATAGAAGCTCTGTGAGTTCGAGGCCAGCCTGGTCTGCAAAGCGAGTTCCAGGACAGCTGGACTGTTATACAGAAAATCCAGTCTTGAAAAACAGAAACAAAAAAGAAAAGGACTTGGCCACAGGCCAGTGTGATCAAGACAATTCTTTAGTTGAGGTTACCTTTTCCCAGGTTTGTGTTGCATCAAGTTGACAGCTGAAACTAATTATGACACTGTTAAAATACCTTGTCAATATTTAGCAAATCTTTTTTTTTTTCTCTCAGACTAAACTTTTTGGCACACGTCCCTATCATTTTCCAATAGGATCTAATTGGAAAATGCTTATCTTTGCTGCTAGGTATCCTTTAGTTAAACCATTTTTCCACATGATTGTGTGGCCTTTATCCATGGTCCTATGGTACATAAACCTCAGGTGATGGGACTTAGCTTCATCTAAAAGAAAAAATTCACGTAGACGGGTGTGTCTCTTTTAATGGTACCTAAAATGCCAGTGATAACCAAACTCCATAATTTCCTTGTTTTCTCCTGCAGATATGTGCCGCTCATCTCCCAGCTGAGTCGGAGGCACCAAATCATTATCAGGCAGTATGTCGAGCACTGTTTGCAGAAACCATGGAACTGCATACATTTCTGACCAAAATTAAGAGTGCGAAGGAGGTGAGTACAAGCCCTAATTAATATTTATAGACATTGAAATAGGGAGCCTCGATTTTCAATATTGTCCATTCTGTGCTTTTTGGTTTGGGCTTTGTTTTTTTCTTTTCCTTTTTTTTTTTTTTTTTTTTTTTTTTTTTTTTTTTTTTTTTGATTTTCGAGACAGAGTTTCTCTGTAGCTTTTGGTTCCTGTCCTGGCACTAGCTCTTCTAGACCAGGCTGGCTTCGAACTCACAGAGATCCGCCTGCCTCTGCCTCCCGAGTGCTGGTTTTCTTTTCCTTTTTAAAGACAAGGTCTTACTGTATACCCAGGCTAGTTGTGAACTCAGGACCCTCTTACCTCTCAAGAATACGTATTTATTATAGAACAGAGATGTTCTATAATACGTATTCTTGAATATTAACACTGACTCTACTTAATAAAACAAAAGCTTTCATAAAGCTTTCTTCTAAGTGCAATAACCAGTCAAGATTGTTTTTATCTGTTTCCTGTGGTACTGACTTTTCACCTCATTCTGTACTCTTCTGTTGTTCATTTTGGGACATATTATCACCTCCTTCAGGAAGTTGTGGATAAGGTGGAGACATTCTTATCCATGAGGCCACACTCTCTTTTCATTGTTCAGTTGTTGAAGTAGACTTTATTAAAGATTTAGTGGAGGACACCAGAATTCCTGTTTTGAAAATCTGAATATTTTGTTTAGTTACTGTTTGTTCATGTCTAAGGTTTAAAGTGTTGTGTTCAAGGAGAAGCATTCCAGATTGTTTGGAAGGAGAGACCTATTTTATATTGCACAGATGGTTGTGAAAATTCACTGAGATCGTACATAAGACTGTTGGCATCTGCCCTGAGAGAGCTTGTTCCAGTATGACTAGAGTGCAGAGCTTCTAGTTTAGCACTAGGCTAAAACGTTTAGAAAGAGATACCTGTGGGGCATGCAAGCATGAAGGGAGAAGCTGGCCTGTCGCCAAGTGAGACTCAAGTAGCCCTAGTAAAAAGTAAGTGACACATCCATCCACTAAGCCATATTTCATAAGCTCAGCTGTGGATGCAGGGACAGTTCGAGGTTTTCTCCTACTCTTTCTGAGTACTGTTCATAGCAGGGCCAGTGACGGGCCAGGGAAACCTGTGCCTCTAAAAAAACACAAGAGGAAAGCTGTCAAGGAGCTAAGAGTGGACTGAGTTGTTGAAGATCTTTAGAGACAGAAACAGGCAGTACTCAGTGAACGTCTCAAACCTGCCCTCAGCCAAGAGTTTTTTAGAGTTGTCCTGAGCTAAGAATTTGCCTTCCCAGAGCATTTTTTTCAGACTAGTATAGCAAGTTAAAGGAGTTTTAAAATTTTTCCAACACTAGCATTCTCAGAAAACATTTTTAAACTTAAAGAATGGTAGGCATTTTTAGCTCTCCATTCTGTTAGCTTGAAAAACTTCTTTTTATTCTTGATTAAATTTTGCTTTAGGTGGCTGGAGAGATGGCCTTGTGGTTAAGAGCTCTTTATGCTCTTACAGAACACCTGGGTTCAGTTCCCAGAGCCCACATGGTGTTGAACAGCCATTTACTTCCAGAGTGCTAAGATTAAAGGTGGGAACTACCATGCCCATGCCCAGCTTTGGTACATAAAATTTAAGGGTTAGAAAAATCAGTGTATTTTGCATCCCCAGCGTGCACTGACAGTCCTTGTCTCCATGGTGACAGATTGCCCTTGTTTGCATCGACTTCTCTGATATACCAGAAGTGGATTCATATAGGAAAAAGCTCAATGTACCAGAGAAATAGATGTTTTCAGACAGAACTCTGGTAGAGGCAGGAGGACCAGGAGTTCAGGGCTATCCTCTGCTACATAATAAATTAAAGGCCAGCTTGAACCACATGAGTCCTTGTCTGTCTGAAACAAAAATAGGAGCTTCGTTTTGAAAAAGAATGCCTTTTTCAAAGAAACAACTCATTTTCAGTTTATAATTTTAGATATGATACTAACACTGATCCATTTTTTAAGGTCTCTGTGGATGAATTAAATTCTATTTCTGTTATGTATGTATACACCACATTTTCTTTATCCTTTTATCTGTTGATGGGCATCCAGGTTAATTCCTAACTTTGCTGTTGTGAATTAGTGCTGTAATAAACGTGGATGTGCAAGTATCTCTGAATTGTGTTGCATTTAATTCCCTGTGCTATGTGTCTAGGAGTGTTACAGTAAAATCCGTATGGTAATTCTATTCTTGGTTTTTTTGAGGAACTTCCATACTGATTTCCATATTGGCTGAACTAATTTGCATCCTCATCAACAATGTATAAGAATTTCTTTCTGCCGTGTCCTTGTTTCCACCGTGAAGGAGATATTAGGCAACTCTTTTTAAGTACCTCTCCTGTTTTAGGGAGCTGTTTCTGTACTTCTCAGTAAAGTTTGCTTGCTTGTCCTTTTAAAAAGAAGAAAGAAATTGGTCTGGTAAGATAGCTCGGTCTGTAAAATGCTTGTTTCATAAGTAAGCTTGGGGACCGGAGTTTGGTCTTTAAAACCTATGTAAAAATAACTCGCATGGGGGCTGGAGAGATGGCTCAGAGGTTAAGAGCATTGCCTGCTCTTCCAAGGGTCCTGAGTTCAATTCCCAGCAACCACACGGTGGCTCACAACCATTTGTAATGAGGTCTGGTGCCCTTTTCTGGTGTGCATGAGTATATGCAGGCAGAACACAGTGTACATAATAAATAAATAAAATCTTAAAAAGAGAAAAAAAAAAAAGAACTGGCATGATGGTGTAGCTTGTGATTTTAGTGACGGGGAGGCAGAAATAGGAGGATTCCTGGAACTTACCGGCCAGCCAGCCTAGTCTAACTGGTGAGCGTCAGGCCAAAGAAGACCCTGTCTCATGAGGTAGACATCATTCCTGAAGGTGACAGCTGAGGTTGTCCTCTGGCTTCCACATGTGGGTTTGTAGACACATTTAAGAAGAAGAAAGAAATTATGTCATTTGCAGGAAAACATTATCAGGAGCTTATTAGTATGGTAAAATAATTCTGTTTCACAGAGAGAAGTATCACATATGTCCTCTCATATGTAGAATTTAGAATGGAAAGAGAGAGGACATGAAAGTAAAAGGAAGCCAGGCATTGTTGCAGGTTCACAGCCTACCTGGCCTACATTGCTAGTATTAGGCCAGCCAGAAGCTACAAAGCAAGACCCTGGGGGCTTGTATAAAAATATCATAATGAAGCCCATTGCTTTATAATAATCAATTTCTATTTTCTTCTTGTTTTGAGACAGTATCTCACTGTATAGCCCTAGCTGTCCTGGAACTTGCTTGTGTAGGCTAGACTAAGCTTGAATTCACCGAGATTCCCCTTCCTATGCTTCCCTACCATGCCTGGCTAATTATTAATTTTTAAAACGTTCCTTCACTGTTGTTGAGTAATTTTCTACCATTTATTAGTCATATGACTGCTTAAATAAGTTAACCCGTGTTAGATACACCCCTATACACTTTCACTTTCTCTCTTCTTCCCTCTGTCTCTGACTTCAGATGTTGAAACTATTCTCACATATGACATTGCAAAAACTTGTCATCGAGTTCTTCCAGATGGCTTGATGTTGTCCTATGCTTAACAAAACGCAGTAAGATGGAAAGATAACTGCCAGGTGCCAGTTAGTGTTTAGTTACTAATAGTTCACCACGCAATGAAGTTCCAGGGTGAGGAACTAAATTGAAAATAAGAATGGCTCCTTATAGATTTTTCCGAGCATTCTATCCGCATCTTACACGCTGTGATCTGTTATCACTGAGAAGCTTTACTCAGTGATTTATATACACTGATTGACTTAGTCCTGTTTTAGAAATTCCATGGAAGTAAAAGACTTCCATGATGAAATCTTTGATCTCAGTTTATCTTGAAGATGACTTTGACTAAAATATCTTTCTTAAAATAGAATTTACATATGCATATATTAAATGCTCTGGGAGAGCAATTTTGGAATTGGCTCAGTTGTTATGAAATCATTTTTGATACTATAACTACAACTAAAATGTGAAAGTTGGTTTTTCAGAAGACCTGTGTAAATGTTTCCAGTCCCATTCTCTTGTCAAGCAAACAGGCACCTCCACCTGTGTCCTAGTGCAGACTCCACGTCAGCTCACACAAGATGCTTGCTTGTGAGAATCAGAGAAACAAAGCCACAGACCCCTGTCTCATACTGAAGAACATTTTATCAGCTTTCTCTCTCTCCTTGCCTGTTCTCTACACATCTAGCAATACAACTGTGGCATTTAAGTTAGCTGGAAATATACTCCCATTCCTAAAGTGGGTTTATTTCCCTCCACATGGTGAACATATCACTTTTGGACAGAGAATCACAACCAGATGTCTGTGTGAATGGTAGCCATTTGTTCATTTTAATTAGTTCATTCATCATTTGTAACCTTCAAAGTCCTTGTTGCTGCTTGTGTTTTTTTTCTTTTGTTGTAAATGTCGGTGTACACGAGAATGCTCACTGAGCCAGCGACATTTAAATAATTTCTGTCCAGATTATCCTTGTTCTTACCACTACTGTCCTGCTTTAATAGTGTTTCACAAGAAGCTTTTGCACAAAAGAAGATGAAAGATTTCTTCCAAGTCCTCATGTACAGAGAAAATGACACCTGGGTTGAAATGGTTACCAAGCTGAGAAAAATGGTGATCTTTAAAATCAAAAGGCATTTGTGTAAGAGCTGGCATTGAAGCTATTGAAATGAATTATACTCAGAGCATTTGGTGTGTATGTGATTTACAGAGTACATTTTATTTATTTGTTTTTGAAGATGCCAATAACCAATATGTTGGCATGGAGATATTTTAATTGTTAGCTGAGAATGGTTTCACCAGAAAGGGAAGAGTTAATTGGCAACTGTGTGCTCCCAATTAGAGCTTTCTCACCACATTCTAAGCATAGGCCAGCATCTGTCATTACATTTATGCAAGAAAAATTCATTCAGAAGCTAAAACAACATCAACAAGAGGACAGAAGCT